AGTTTTCGTGCAGGCTCATCACACAACAACTATAATGCCATGAGCGTTTTCGAACCCTTGCGCCAACCTTGCGCCGTGCTTGCGCGGAGCTTGCGCGCGCAGGTTTTTTTGACACATGATTTTATACTTGGTTTTCGTTTATACAAATCGTAAACAAGGAATTTCGGACAACCCCCATTTGTGGTTTGCTGCGTTAAAGGAAATACGGAACGAACAGGATGGGTTCCGAAACTTATTGTTTTCCTTGTCAGATCAGAGTGTTTCAAACACCTTGCTGTCGTTGTTGCTAGAAGATGAAGCGGCGCGGTTTACCACTCATTGCTTTCGTAGAGGAGCTGGGGTGGACGTCTTGCAAGCAGAAGGCACTACGTGTTCTCTTTTGGCAGAAGACAGCTGGCGACGTGTAGGCATGTATGGCTTACCGGGCATGCTCAGCGTTGGCGAGTGGTCTTCCAAGGCCAGCACGACTCACGACGCTTCTGTGGACGAGCAGTCTTGCGCAGGAATGGCATTCAGCATTTTGGAGGCCTGAGACGATGAGCGTTGATTTCATGATTTACTCGAACACCCAACCTAGGTGCCGAGGGTACCAAGGGAATTTTATCCTTGCACCTTTGATTGGCCTGACCCTTTGAGAAAAGGCCTTGAGCAGTACCCTCATGCAACATGTCACTCCTCATTGCGGGCTCGTGCAGCGTTGCAGAATTGCAGACGCAAGTTAGCATCTATTGGAGTGCTCCCGGACTTTCCACAGCAGGATCAAACCTCCAGGCTGTGTCTTAGCTTCCCTCCCATTCCCGCCCTGGGAATTTTGCCCTGGCACCTTTGATTGGACTGACCCTTTGAGAAAAGGCCTTGAGCAGTACCCTCATGCAACATGTCACTCCTCATCGCGGGCTAACCCATAAATATTGGGGGCTGTTATTGTAATCCCCTATATCTCGGTGGGGACGCCTGGTTTGTGACAGGCACGATCTGCAGATTTGCAGATATTGCACATGCCCAGCTTCTTGAGCATTGTATCTTTCATGCCTCGCAGCCCCTTTCCAGACGAGAGGGGCTCTTGGGTGCCATGTGGGGCCACAGTTTGCTGGGCAGCACTTCAAGCTGCTCAGCCCTGGACCTTTCGCCGGCAAGTCTCCAGCACAGTGTCCGCGCAGCAACTCATTCTTGAAGCTTGCATTGCGCCGCATCCATGCCGGAACCATAATGACATCCACTTTCGAGTGACCAGAGCATCCATGGAGGAACCATGACAACATCCACATTCGAGTTTTTCGGATTGCCAGAGCATCGCGGGGAGAAAGTTTCGCAGACGCAGGCTTCTCAAATCCCAGTTTCGCCACGGCGATGCTTAAATTTTCCCTTGCAAATGTTGGTTTCGCACTGCGTTTTCCCATAGTTTTGCACTTCCAAGCAAACTCGCGCGCGCCCAAAGGCACGTCACGCTGGAGGCGTCGCTACCTATATATATGTATATATATGTATACATCCCATTGTAATGTAGTAGTTTTCATTTTCTTTGCCACTATCCCTCAAATAGCCCCTATATGCTAAAATGTCAGGCCGCCTGAGGCGAGAGCACAATTTCAGCACAAAAAGTCATAGACCCCAACAGCTGCATTCCCAAAAAAACCGTCACAAGCAATGAACAACACGTCACAAGTCACGAGCAACAAGAGCTCCTGCCCAGGATACATGCATGCTTTTGGAATCGCGAGAAGCAGCAACCAGCTAACTCAATCCAACATAATCCGACCATGGGCTTCAATCCAACCATCAGCATATTCTAAACCGCTTGAACCTTCAAAACATACTTAAGAGCGGTCCGTTTCCATGCCAAAATATCACTCGCTGCCATCTGAGAAACCAAAAGCTGATCCCATCTATCCCACCCTGCCCAAAATGTTGTTGAGATTTTCTGCTTTCTGGTAGAAATACCATCTGGGACCCCCTCCCCCTGCAACGAAAAGCCCTCAAGATTGCGATTCGATTCGCTGGACATGCTTGACACTTTGGAGCTTGTTTGTCCATGCACCCTCTTCCACGAAACAGCGAGATGGGAGGGGAGAGCGGCAACAACAACAATAACAATAGAAGCAGCAGCAGCAGCAGCAGCAGCAGCAGCAGCAGCAAGCAGCAGCAGCCTCTCCAAGCTCTTGCGCCAGATTCAATGAAGCCATGGTGCCTCCAGATCTTGGCTTCATCTCAACCTGTGGCTGGGGCCGCCTGGGCAAAGGATTTGTCAGATCTTGTTGCGCTGCAAGACTGGCCCGGAGCTGGGCTACAAACGGAGCGCAGAACATGTTCAGAAACTGATGAAGGCACCTGCATGCACTGAGGATATGTTGCTTGTCTTGCTTGACCGGCGTCATCTGGCAGGCGGCGCCACTCCAACACGATCCCAATCGGGTAGCCAGCAAGCATCGACCTGCAGCCACAAGCTCGATGCACGTGCAGCAGTTTGGCTGAACTGCTGAGACTCTTCAGCTCATGGCACAATTGGTCCACAGATGATCATCAGCCTGGACCTTTGCGGAATTCAGTTTTTAAGCTACTTGGTGCTCGGATCTTTGCAAGCAGTGGCAACAGCACCTGTGATCTTGCATGAGTTAACCAGGCCGCATTTTTGCTGAGAAGTGGTACGCAACAGCGGCATACAATACCTGGCAGACCACTAAGCCTCCGAAAGAGCAACCGCACATGTGACCATCTGATGCTTCCGAAGTCAGATCTTGGATGTCTTGAGGCAAGCCAGAGCACCGGGAACAATTTGGCTGGTGTCTGTTGGTGCCAACCTTCGATAGCATTGCTCCAAATTCTCAGAACGAGCTAGCGGCACCAGCCACCATCTGAGCTCTGCACAGAAGAAAAGACCCACAGCAGCAACCTAGGTCTGCGCTTGTTTACCTTCAGCCCCAACGAATGAAGGCAAGTAATCTTAACAACAGCATTTGGCACCCTCCTGGGATGCAAGCGAATCGTGCGTCTCCCAAGTACTGCCTCAAATTGGATAAGTCAGCTTGCAGCGGGCACTTAGCGACACAGGATGCAGCAGGTAGTAGCCCAGCGCGCTCACTTGATCTCATGCGAATTGCTGAGTCTCTGCAGGGTGTAGGGTTCAGGATTGCTCAAAATCTGAAGTCTTTTTATGTGCCGCATCTTTCAATTTGCGCTCTTGAGACCCTTTTGCGGCCCTTTGCGCAATGTTTATTTTTCGGCAGAATGTTGGGATTCAAAGGCTTCTATGCTTTTTGGCGTCCAGCACCCGAGGCCAAAAGCTAGCCATTTTCGCTGAAACTTACAGTTCTGTATGCTTCTGCGCCTGCAGGTTGGGAGGCACTTGGCCTGCTGCAGCCATTTTGTGACCCTCCTGCGATACTGCATCTTCTCTCTTTTCTTCGGTTTCTGGCCACGACAATGTAAAGGACAACGACCAACACTACACTATGGCACTGGTTGCTGTAGTGGCAGGCTGTAACGTGGGTAGGAGGTAGTGGTACTAGTAATGCAGTTAGGGACAGTGAATATGTGGTGGTAGTGGATGCAAATGGTAGCGAATGCAGTGGTAATGGAGGCAGTGGTGGTAGGGGCATGCACTGCTGTGGTGGTAGCACCGCCCAGCAGCAGCAGCCTTAGCAGAAACAACAACAGCAACAGTAGTTGTTTGAGTTGCAGTCCTTACCCCAACTCCCGCCCCCAGCCCCGCCCTTAGCATCCTCCAGCAGCAAGCACCAGACGCTAAAAGCCCAGGATCTGACACGAAAAAACGCACGCTACTTCCTCGAACTGAAGTCGGCAAATGCTGCTGCTTTACCGTGAGGCAGGGGCTCATAGGCCTGGTTGCTTGTTGCCGAATGCTCTGCAACGGAATCCACCTGAGAGAGCACCATGTCGCTTGATTTCTTTCAAAGACCCTACATCATGTTTGGGCTGCCAACCAGAGGGTTCCCGGTCTTCTTGTGCTTCAAGAAGAGACCCCTTATTCGCGCCTAAGCCAAATTTGTAGCGAAGAGCCCTCTCGCCTTCTCAGGCGCCGAAAAAAGATCAGGCTCAAACGCCCAGCGGCGCAAAGTGGCCCAACCTGGAACGTGTGTGAGCCAGTCTTGCTAAACACTCGGTGCTTCCAAACCCCGATTGCGCACCTGTATAATGTAAAGCAGACGCCTGCCCCGGCAAGACAGGCCAACGCAAATACGACCTTCCGCACTGCCATGCATTGCCATGGATGAAGGTCTTTCTGAAATCCAATTTTAGGCCGCGGCCACTCGAAACAAGCAAAATCTCCATGGAGAAGACAGACCTATTGTAAGCTTGCATTTGAAGGTGGGGCAACCGCGCACACAAGCGGGCAGGTAAGAAAGGCACTCTTGGCACGACAGCGTACAATGTCGCATGCCTCCAGCCTTGCTTGCCCAAGCTAGAGGCAACAGACTGCGTTGGAATGCCAACAATGTTGCTGTTCTGTTCAAAGGCCGGTGCACATGCAGAAGTCTGCGATGTGCGTTGACAAGAAAAAACCGATACTCTCCCCAATACTAACTAAGTACTCCCTACTCACCAAAGAGAAGCCTGAACAACCAACACAGCAAAGAACAGCTAACGACAACCTAAAATAGCACAGGTTCAAGGCCGCTGTGCTCTGACAGCAGGGATGCTTTAAGACACGACTTGTGCAGGCCAATGTTCCCAAACGCAGTCAGTAAGACTGGCAGCAAAGACGACATTGCCAACGAACAGTCGTTTAATTCAAGGTGGCAAAAATGAAACGCAAAAAAACAGAAAGAATTGATAAGTGTCTGGAAGGCCTGTAAGTTACATACCGAGGTGCTAGGGAATGTACTGGCCTTTGTGGAATTGAAAGGACGCCCATTGTAAGGGCCCACGGGACTCACTAAGGCTGGGGCCCCTTTCATGGAGCCCCTTGTTGTGCCAATGCTCTGCGGGGTTTTCTGCTCGGCTCATCTTGCGTAGGGCTGAGCGCTGCGCAACTGGAACACAATGAAGACCAGCAGAGATGGCATTCTCAGCAGCACCCGCGGGTTTGAAGACACCAACGCGCAAGAACGCTTCGTGCAAACAAGATTATTCCAATTAAGCAACCTGTCTTGAGGTAGGGCGCAGGCTGCTCCATTGCCCGTAGTGGGGCCCAGCCAATTACTGGAACAAGCCTCCCGGGATTCCAAACTTGTTCGGCTCATCACTAAACTGAATGCTGTCTTCTCAACCTGCTTGCAGTTTATTCGGCTTTTGTTCTCGACGTGCTGCCTGCAGAGTGTTTAGAACATGACGTGCTGCGGCTTGCTGCAGGAGACCATGCGTGCAGCCTGGACGAGTAAACCGGCTGCTCTCAGCGTGTGCGCATGCTGTACTGAAATTCGACACTTGAGACAGATTTGAAGACAGGTTTCCAGTTGTCGTTGTAGTTTAATGTCTTCGTACTGACTGTATTGACATGCTTTGGAACACAATGTTTTGAACACAGCGCTGAATCAGAGCTCTGCACAAGCATTCACAGCTTTTGCGACACCAACGTAAGCTGAGCCCGTCACATAGCACCGCAAGTGCCCACCACATACCATAGCGTGTAGGCCTTTGACTTTCCGGAAGCGTAAGGTGTCCAAGTCACACTGACCAAGCACCCGGTACAAGCCAGAGTTGTATTTGCCCATTGCCACCAGCACTGCGGCATGCAAGCCTGGGACAAGGGACAAGCATCTTGTAGGAGTTGACGGGTTAGTTTGCAAACTGTGCGCCATGGTACCGATCAGATTGTTTACGAAGATGTAGCCACCCCAGGTGGCCCTGAAACCGTCCAAAGCAGAATGTCTGTAAGAACTTCTGGCTGAAGCATCGCCAACTGGGCATGCGACGCAGCGGAAAAGTATGCTAGACCTTTCATGGCTTAGCTCAGCAAAGGCCACGCAGCATACATAAGCAATCTACAGGTTCGCAAGTCTGGGGGCATGACCGGCCAGCATGCCCCATGGCCAAGATCCAGGAGTTCTGATCGATCGGCACCATCTGAGCTCAGTACGCAGTCACAATCAGCAAAATCATGTTTGATTGCTTTCTGAGTCGAAGAAAGCGCTACAGAGATGTTGAGTGGCTCACAACCAAAACGTGGCGCAAAAGCATGTGACCTCATCAGAGCCATATCAAAGTTGAAAAGATGGAATCGAACGCGCATACTCCGTGCTTCGTCAAAGTACTCTAGGTTTGTGGCTGCGACAGCTTCGTTGTCATATTCTCCTGCGCTGGAGCGCATCAGATGTGCTGGAATTATCGCCATGACCTGTAGCGAAGCAGCAAGCATCATCTTAGCCGAATCTTCTCAGCAGGAATCTTGAGACAACGGCCATCCCAGCAGCAACTCCAGCTGAGCGGCTTTCAGAAGCCTGCAGCGCCGGGCGACTCTGTACTTGATCCATAGCAAGCAGAACAACAGGAATGTTTGCATGCAAAGCAGTCCTCTATTGTCAGCAGCACTAGGAAGAGGGTAGCGAAAGCACCTTCAGTATGTGTGCACATGCATGACACGCGCTCGCGGGTTTGATTAGCACTGTCTGCTTCAATCCTGTCTGGTAAGTCTAGGGGGCCGGCCAAACCATGCGGGCGTTAAAACCTTGAGGGCAAGCAAGCGACATCCATGAGCAGCGCAAAAACAAGTGGAAGGCTTCTGCTTGTGCAGCCGCGGAGCACACACGTCATTCAGCTTCATCGGTCCAAACTTAGAACCAGTTTTCTTTTCAAGTATCTTCCAAGCGCCCAAGCAGTGAGCTGAGGCTGAGCGGACATGTGTCCATGGCCAGGAAGGAAGCTCCTCCATCCTGACTTGTCCACAAAAAGCGGCCCTGCACTTTGATATGGAAGATTGAGAGCGCAGCCTTTCGGTAGAGATTGGAGGAGCCACAGTGGGAGCTCCACTTCCGTCTAGCACAGCTGACTCTCTCGCCACGTTTCTGCAAGTGCTGGCTGCGAGTCTCCCGAATCTCGCAGGCGGTGCCTTGGGGATGGACTTCAGCACCTCGGCTTGGCTGGACCAGGCGAACGGGAGACCCTGAGAACAGAAAGTGACTCTCGACGGCCCAAACTGATGCCGTCGCGCAGCGTTCCAGATCCAAATGCTTGCAAACCTCGGTTCCAGAGCTCTCGCTAGAATCCGCTCTGTTTTAGGCTCCAGCTCCGCCCTATGCCAATTGCCCCCAAGCTGCTGCATGCCAGGGTATGTGGTTGTCCCAATCGGCCGTCCAATGGGATACCAAGACATGTAATCGTACCTCACACAATGATTGGCACTTGTGGCCTGCACAACACGCACAACGTGGTCACTACCATTTGCCGGGCAAAGCTGTAATGTAAGCTGCGTGCCACTCTGCAAACTTGAACCAACCATTTTTAGAGAGATACTGAGCCACACGGAAGTTGAACCTGAGAGGCCGAACGGTCTTGCCAAATGATGATGTCGCGCCATTCCGTGCAGCCGGCCACGGATCAAACTCATGGATCAAGTAGCCGTAGTCGTGGACGGGCTTAGCATTGGAATGGGGCAGTGTGTGCTTTCAAGTGCCAGGAAGCCCTCAGCTGGAAGCATGCATTCGTATCCGATATGCCCATAAGCAGAAATAGCCGACCAGCAGCAACCTCAGCAGCAAGCCAAGGTGGACTCGAGCGGCACAGCACGAAACACACTGCAGTGGGGTGATTCGAGCTTTTCTGGTGCACATTCCGCTACACCAGTCTTCCAAAGGAAACGATGTCATGCACACCTTTGCTCAGCAACCTCTAGCCGCTGATTTGTCTGCATGAGCAACCCTACTCTGCGCCTGAAAGCGCTAGATGCAGGGCCTGTGAGAAACGGCATCGTCTTGCAGAACATATGCTGAAGTGTGCGAGGCTTGCAAATGGTTCTCAAGCCCCATGATATGTCTGGACGGTCATGATGAGAACCCGGTCGACATCTTCCAGCCTCGGGTCGCGGCCCAAACATGACTGGAATGCGGCTGAGACCAGGGGAAACAGGTTGTCTTGGTCAATCCTTGGAAACTGATCGATACCTTAGTCTCATGAACAACGTTTTGCATTGTCCGAGATGCGGCCGGAGTCGGTTCCTGACACGATGAGCGGCATACGATTCACGAACCACTGGTAAGGCACCTGATGCCCCTACACCCCCAACGCTAAGTGCATGCCATGTCCTCAACTTTTGCACCAGCTCGGCCACAACTGCAAACTGCGTCGTGCCCTGATTGTTGTCCATGCCAGCCGATGACTTATCACATGCCCAAACAATGGGGGCCCAAAAACAAAAGAATTGGCATGGCCATTCAGCTAGGAGCACCGGATTCACTGTGAGGGTAACCTGGCGAGAACATGTATAGTGCCGACCTCATCTTCTGGCTTCTTGACTGTCCCAAGCACATGCGCCTCGATCGTGTGGCCCATGCCGGACATGTACACCTTGATGTCATCACCGGCCACCCCGCAGGGCGAACCCTTGACCTCATTTCTTAGGCAGCCTTCCGTGCAAATGAACCTCGTGATGCATCCGACTTACCAAAATGAAGCCTGTGGCAACGTTCAGTTGGAAGAGAAGCAGCTAGCTACAGGCGTAGACTTTCCAAAATGGAGTTATCAGCCATATTGGATGAGGTATCCATGGAGATGGATCCAGATCAGCAGCGCAGTTTGAGGAGTACAATTCATGCATTGCAAACTGCATGGATGCGTCCTCTTGCTGAGAATGATCTGAACCTTCTTCGGTCCTCCTAGAATGTTTTGCACTGTCCTGATCGTTCCTGGGTTATGGCGACTTTCATGCTGGTTTTCAATCAAATGGCAGGACGATACCAGATGACAGATTTTGCTGCGGGAATTGTCAGTGATTGTGCACACTGTCAGATGGAAGGTCTGCTTTATGTCAAACTGACTATTTGCGCTGTCAAACTTCTGGACATGGTTGGACGCAACACATTCCTTGAAAAGTTTGCTGCAAAACTCAGAGTACAGAGCATGGATGCCAATGCAGCCTGAGACAAGCATATTGCATCAACGCCCCAACTGTTTACTGGGACATTGATGCTCTGCTTAAGTGAATGCTATGGTATCACCCTCCCAAGGTTTGCGGGACATTGCGGCTCTATCACTTGTACATGCCAGGTGTTTGTACAGTTGGCAACATCTCCCCAAGCTTTACTGGGATATTGATGCGCTGCCTCCAGCATAATATCTGCTTCCAGTAGGCTCTTTTGCCGATAACTGCTGCACTTCGGTGCGGGTTGTCTCTGTTGCGGGCTACTGCTGAATACTAGTATCGAGTAGCCTCTGTCTGTTTCTTTTTCCAACTTCTTTGAGGTAGATGTAGCATGCTACAGCTCAATGCCGGGCCAAATGGCCTGTCTACGTGGGATCGCTAGGCTTCGGAGACGTTGCTGCGCTTTCAAAGTCAAAAAAATGAAGCCTGTCGGTCCACGTCTAAAGCTGCCACGTGCCGTTGTGCAGCTCAGTGCGGGTCTGACGTTGCGGGCACATGCCTTCACGCAACTGAGCGCCGCACAACGTCAAATACTTCCTTGCGAACACCTTCGCAGAACTCATCGTTCCCAACCTGTCTTTTTGCGGACCATCAGTATACTCTTCCAAATGCCGGCTTTACTTCAGTGTTGAGTTTCCTGAAAATATTCCCTCAAGTGTGCCTGCTCACTCAACACGGTCATGTGCTCCACCCTGAATTCAGGCACCATTGTGACCGACACCCGAGCTGTCCAAAAAACAAATCTGTGTCTCAGGTCTAGCATCGAGTTGCATCAGCTCTGACCAGGTGTACCTCCCAATATGAACTGCCATCTCAAAGGCGCGGTTGGCTGCACCCACAAAATTTGCGCACATGATGAAAAACGACAGCAAGAGCGACACCTTATGAAGGCAAGTAATGGCAATCGCGGAACTCACATCAAGCCAGCACACGTAATAATGGTTGCATGGCTGTGGCATTCTGAGTCGCATTGTTTTTCATGGCTGCTATGTTGATATGCGAGTGCAAAGCCCACGCCCCACTGCCACCAATCCCTCCTTCATCCCCAAAACACATGCGGAGCAGGCCTCGAGTGCTGCTGAGTTCTTGAACAATGGGCTGGAACGACTGGACTTATTCCATTCTATGGGAGTGGTCTCTCCGGCGCGTGCCAAACTCTTCTCATCTGCTCCCTTGTGTGTCATAGGGATTTCAGAAGAGGGCTGCAGTCCTATCTGTCTGGCGTTGCATTAAAGTACCTGATTCCTTGACAGGCAGGCTGCCTCGGAATATTGACTTAGTTCCCAACCTCCACAACGCTTCCACGCGACAGGTGGTTGCAGCAGCTCTGCACACAATCCCTTCACTTCTACTCCTTTCCTCCACGCACTTTCTTCGCTGCCTTTGGATCTTCTTGCAGCATAACAGCTCAGGACTTTCGCTCCACTCGTCGCTGAAAATAAGCCCTCAAAAGCCCGTGCCCTGACAACCCCCGGACTTTGCAGCGCCGTTGCTCTCGCTAGCACCATTAAACAACACTCGGCGGCCCTGCTTGGTCCGTTGCCTGACAGCCCAGCAAACAATACCAAGCCACAAATGGGTCCACTTTCTCGTTCGCAATAAACTTCCCAGTGAAGTCGGGGAAAATTGCCTATGGTTCGCACTGGATGCAGCACATGTAAATAGCAAATCCAGTGTAGATTGCAAATGCGCAAGCTATCCTGCCGCTTTCATACACACGCTAATTCTTGTGACCCGTGCCTTATCTGCAGAGTACACTACAGAGACTGTCGAACGAGCCAAGCAGTCGGTGCATGGCAAAGCTTACATGCCCTTCACGGAGCTCATGTGGCACAACTCACACACATCTTTGGTGCTACATTCTTGCTGTCAAGCTTGATTTAGAACCTCTATTTCGGAAGCATAGCACATTCCAGCATGCCTGAAGCAATGTTCTATCAACTAACTGCAATCCCTTCCGGCCATTGCTGTTAAACTGAATCGTTGCCATGGATTGCCAACAGCTGCAGAGCAGCTGCTGTCAAGGCAGGAAGCCAATCAAGGCATATCAAGAAGTGTTTGCAGACAAGGTGGCTGCGAAGAAGGTCGAGGTAATGACGAAACCTTGCCGGAGCTGCAATGGCAGCTCGTTGCGCGAGCAAACAGAGCAGCAGAGAGAAATAGAGAGAGAGAGAGAGAGAGAAAGAGAGAACAGAGAGAGAGCAAGAACTAGAGGAGGGCGTCTGAGGTCAGCGCTCGTGCAGATGAAATCGTTTCTCTTGTCAGTTGCTAAAGCTACCAGCACTGAAGATCCACTCTTCGGGATGGCATACAGCAAGCAGTAAAGCCACAAGCATAGCCTCAGCATGTGCAACCAGTGAAGGAAGTAACCAAGTAGAAATGTGCTACGATTGAAGAACTCGACCCCCCTTTCGCACACTTCCAGGCTGCACCATGCAGGAGACTTCAGCCTAACCAAAGCCACAGACCGTCTTGACTTACTGCGCCGGTGAACGGTGTGCTTCTCAAGACACGCGGATGTTGTTCTGAATTCCTTCATCCCGAGCTGACCATCTTCGCGGGAAAAATACTTTCGCAAAACTTTCGCGAACCCATCGCCCGCTCATGCTTCTGATAGCCGCAGCCTCGAAACTTCACAGTGAGAATCAGAAAGCCGCTGCCTTCAAAAAACCTTGCATAACTGAACCCAAAGCATCCACGCCTGGCACCAAAGCCTCAAATCCAAAATCTTTAAGCCCAGACCTGTACATGCTAAGGGCAAGCTCGGAGGCCGGGAAGGCTCACCAGGTCTGATTCCAACCCACATGTTCAGGCCAAGGGCGTGTGGGCTAGAAGGATCTTATTAGGCTCACTATCCGAACTATGGTGCCAATTTTGACACATCAGGAAATGTAGATAATATTGAATAATCACACTTTATGCTACCTCCTTGCGACACAACGTCAAGCACAAGCACTTTAAACATCCGAGGATTCCAGCCAAGAACGCCTCCAGCCAACCCCGAGTGCCCTGAAGAATTTCCAAAAATCCTTAAGCCCCACCCAATGCACCCTCGAAGGATTTCCAAAAATCCTTCAGCCCCAGCCGGTGGGCCCAGCCCCACGACGGTGGGCCATGAAGGATTAGTGCCGGCTAAGACCCCAAACAGCATGGCTGGAAAACATGCGAATGAAAGTTACAGTTGGCGTTTAAAACCTATCCGATTAGAATGCGAAGAACAAAGTAGCAACCATTCAATGACTGCAGAAAACACTTGCATATCCATTTAAGTATATTGGCGGCTGGATTTGTTCTTTTTTTGGTTTTGATTCGGCAGGCTTGAATTGATTCTTGCAGTGCTGGATTTCTGGAGGGCTTCGGGCAAGGAATGTCAAAATTGCAAACGCTACTGCAGCTCAAGGTGCTTTGAGTCTCGTAGGTTTGGGGTTTAATTCAGGAATCGAAATTGAAAGTTTCGGGGTTAGACTGGAAGGATTTTGAGCCCGACCTTGAGCTGGCAAGTTTAGCTCCGCCCATACAGCCCCCGATCCAATCACCCGCAGCTCACGGCTCCAAGCCGCGCGCTGACCATCAAGCCGCCGTGCCGATCCAGCCGCCGAGGGCCCACAGCCAGCGCAGAGGTCCACGCCGCGTGCCGGCCAGCCGCCGCGTTCTTCTGTTCTTCTGAGGCGAGGACCCCAAACGTAACGCTTCTTGTTTTGAGAAGAAAGGCCCAGTGTACGCCAGTATACGCGGCCTTCGGTCATGAGCCCAGAATCTTGCAACAAGTGGCAACTGGTACCAATTTAATTGCCCACCGCGAGCCCACTGCAGTGCCGCGTTCGTCTTCTCTTCTGAGGAGAGGACACCAAACATCTCCTGCTTCGGGAATTTCCAAAAATCCTTCAGCACCACCCAGTGGGCCCTGGAGGATTTCCAAGAATTCTTCAGCCCCACCCGTTGAAGGAGGCGCGGGCAGGAGCCTGGAAGTCAATTTGCATTGGCATGGACCGACCCAAGGCCCTGAAAAGCTTGAGTTGGCAACGCTGAGGGTGGCTGGAAGGGGGTTTGGCTGGAGGGCGCTTTAGCGCTCAAACAAGAAATTCATCCGTATTTAAACAGGTCTTTTTCTTGCGCTACCAAAAGAAGTTACAAGTTGGCCCGCCCTCAACTCATTTATTGATAAAACGTCACTGTACCGTACACACATTTCTATTGCGCAATCTTGCCCATAGATTGTAACCTCTACTTGCGCCGCACTTGCTTGTACGCTGCCGAGCCTCCAGGATTTTCAGCCTCTAAGCGAGGACGGGATTGAAACAGAACAGGTCCCAGAAGTAATGCCTTTCTTCCAGACGAAATCAGGACCTGTCTATGAGAGCCCTTCGGAGCCATAGCCCAGCAGAGCGTAGAGCCACGTAGAAGCTTTCGCAAGACAGCTCATTTTCGCGGTGCCATAGCGAAACTTTTGCGAAGCCATATCTTGCTATGCTGGCGCTCCATCCATATAATTCTTCCTACAAGGACCTTTGGTCAGATCAACGCTCACGTGCGAAAATGAGCGCGGGTATTGTTTCAAGTCTCAAATAGCAAAGTTTTCTCAAGGCTGCAAGCATGCAAGGATTTCCCGCTGAACTACAGTCTGCAGCTGCGTCACTTGTACGTAGCACAGCAGCCAAGGAAGAGGTTTTGCGTCCTCAGCTGATTGATGCAGTCTTGGAACATCTGGGAGAACCATGCTCATGACTCACGGCCTGTTGGCCTCAAGCATCTTTGCGAGGCAAGCAGCTTCAGTTGCTGCCACTGTTCTGCTTCGTTCTCATAATCGGCAATTTGTTGAACAACCCTGAGTTTTGCAAAGCACTGCGGCAAGGTTTCAAGCACGAGCATCATCGTAGGTCTGCAGGCAAGACGCTCCCCTCTTGTTAATTCAGCCGGTTCATTTGCCTAGCCAGCCGCTCGTGACAGGACAAGCTATTCAGCCACTCCGGTTGCGAACACCACAACGCGTGAGAGAATGCCGTGTTTGAGCCAGGCGCGTACATCGCCTTCTCGGCCTCATCACCTTGCGGCAGGAGGAAGTACTCACCTACCACTAGATCCGTTCTCGATTTGCTCGGGTGCACCATGTGCATCGCCACAGCTGCATGCTCCCCTCCGAGTGTGATCCAAGAATTTGTTTTGGACAAGACGGGGTAAGTGGATTGGACGAACGGACAGCAGGACTCAAAGTTCGTGACCAAGTAGCCATGGACTTCGAAAAACTTCTTGAGCGGGTTTTGTATCTTGGCAGCATTGTCGGTAGGACTCCGCCATGTGCACTCCTCCTGGCGCAGCACAAAACCAAGCACCTGACTGTGGCAGCCCAGTTGAAGCGAAACCTTATTTAGCCGGAATGTGATGCCTCGTCAGTGCACTCCAAATCTGCACGCCACTGGCTGAACTCGCTGACCGAGCCCGTCTGCTGGAAGAACCTTCGATTGCATCCGCCCTTTTAGATTTTGCGCATTGCGACGCTACGTGGGACTCTGCGTGTTTGAGTAGCACTGCAGCATACTGCAGCTCTCCGGGGCCTTTGAATTTGATGTTTTCGGACATGCTGCTACGCTGTGCGGCACAAGGTGTTTTGCTACCTGGGACTGAAGCCCCATGCTGCAGTTCAAGAGACTATTCTTTCCCATAAGACCCCGATATTCCAGCGTCAATTTAGATTGGGTTTGCATTTTCCACACATCCAGTGGGATTTCCACGTGTTACCTCGCGCACCGTTGGCTTATGCCTGAACGTGAACGCTATGTTATGATAATCTCACGCGGGGCCGCCGGCGTCACAATTTACCTAATGCTAATACTGGTCATTTCCCATTTCATCTTCCATTTCCTTTTCTGGTTGATTTTCCATTATCTGAGGATATTTGAGGCAATATCTGAATAGTAGTTTCCATGTTCTTTTCCTTTGTCCCTAGATATCCCATGTGTGCTGACTCTTGGTCAGCTCAATCTGCTCCTGTTCTGAATTATCTCGTCTCATCTCGGATGTGGCGCCTGTAGTGCGCATGTGTAACCCCAGCACTGAACACTAAGATCCAGTTTACTTCAAGTTTGGCATTGGTTCGGAACGTCTACCTTCGGGTTGCATATGGACAGTCGAATAGTGTTGCGCGGGCTTTCCAGCTGCAAATGTCCTTGTCTCATTGGTAGCGATGCAAAGGTTCTCAGATGAATGCTCGCGCAAGTTATGTTGCCAACATGGTTAACGGATTGTGTGGCAGAGATAACGTCCTCTTGCCCAGACTTTGCAACTGGATGACCTATGGTTTGTCAAGTGCGCAAGGATTTCCACCAAAGCCTTCTACATGTCAACCGAAGGCTAGCACAGAATTGGGAGGAACTGATGATTTTCCAGGGGACTTTCCCTGAAAGTTTCATCCTGACGAATTTGCGAACCGAAGCCCTATGCCAGCACCGAGGAGTTCAATTCTTGGAATAGCCGGACCAAACGAGGTGCTCAGGCCCATCAACTGAAACTCCTCTCTCTTGGGAGGACAGGTTGCTTAATGCCACGTGTATGCGGATCTGCTTGCTGCAGATTCAGGATTCCTTTTCTGGATCTTTGAACTGGTGGCCCATATTTCTCCTCAAATTTAGTCCTGGTGCGCTTTCTATGGATTCGATCTCATATCCTCGCGTGTCATCAGTCCTTCATAGGATCGATGCTGTTGCCGCAAACTTGATTATAATGCTCCGTCCTTTCTACTGCAGATGCTGGGCTGGAGTCCACCCTCAGTACCAACTACTATGAAAGGCACATCGCAGAGATTCTTGAAGACGCATGTTTGGCACCCTTGATAGACTGCATTATCCCCACTTCGGTCCAGGACGCCGCGTAATGGCCTTGTGTCCGATATCGTCTTTGCTTTCTATGAGGCTCTCCAGGTTCCTGAGGAATAGATCCACAATGTCAACAAATTCAAGCTGTTACAATTATGTGCAAGAAAGTTGCGACAATGCGTTTCCGAACATTAGCGCCTGGCTGGGTCCAAGGAACGGAGGTCAGCTCTCACAATGCTTCAACGATGTTGCATGCAAGTAGTCTTGCTAAGGCAAGAGCGAACATCAGGGTGCTGAAAACCTAGGAAGCTTGGGGGTCTGCTCTGGTGCTTCGGACTTCTTGCATGATTGGACTGCACCCGAAGAACAAGGCAGCCAATGCTTTGGAACTTCTTCTGGCCGACAGGATACCTTGGAAACTTCCCAAAACCATCCCTTGCAGAAATCAACAGCAGAACCCTTCTTGCGTGGAATCGCTTTTTGAAGTCCACATGCGTCATGCGATATCCAGTGTACAGCCTCAGATGCTGCCACAGCCTTGCAATGACTGAAAAGTATGGGACCACGAGCTGTGGCACTCGTGAACAAATTCACGAGTGGAAGCGTAATCATGTTTGCCATGAGGTCGCCCAATGAGTCCAAGGCAGATGTCCTTCCGGCCAGTGCTTGCCAGATTCCGAGATAACTGGGACCGGCTGCGTGCAATACGCAAATAACACGAGCGAACCACGAAGGAGATCCTGACCACCTCAGAGCCGGAGTACAAGTAGATGGACACCTTGACTATAGCAATCATCACCTTGGATGCGCTCAAATGCATGCGCTCGCGGCTTCACACTCTCAGACTTGGACAAGCGCCATCGACATGAGTGAGTGTGATTCGATACGTAAGCCATCCAAGCTAAGGCATAATCGCACATGACTGTGGCAAAGCGAGTCGTGCACTTCACCTGAGAAAGCTTGCCCAATGGTGCAGGTCAAAATCTCAGCATCTGGTTGTTTGTGCTGTGGAACATCGGCATGCAAGCAGGAGACAATGCTCATGGCTTCTTGTTCTCGCACTCCAGCTTGCACAGCATCATGTACCTCAGCAGCTTTTTGTGCTCTTCAATGCTTAAACCACTCTGCCCCAGAGCAGCGGAATCACATGCTTTACATACATACAAAATGCCATGCACTCCTCCTTTTGCAGCTATGTGGCAATGGCACCGTCCGCTTCGTCTCCCACGATCCATGATTTCTGTACACGGGAGGCCCTGGACTGCCTCGCAATAGATGCGCCTGTGCGGGATGAATGTGACAGGACCAAAACAAAGTCCTTTGCTGCCTTGCCACGAAAAGAATGGTGGCGCAGCAACAAGCTCAAAACTTCAAACTGGATTTACCATCTGGAAAAGATAGATGCGGTGCCTCAGCACGCTACACGACATGTCTGCTTCAGGGCGAGTTCTGCGATGAAGCGGATTGCTTTTTCAAAAAGGGAGTGTTGGAGCTGCACTTAAACCTTTTGTACGCATATGATGCCATAAGCTTGTGCCAGGAGGTCAAATTGGAAAAACATCGCGGGAGAAGTGTGTGTTGCATGGGTGAGAGGCTGTTGTCGATGACGACCAACAGCCGTTTTCAGGGGAACAGGCTTTTGGATGAGCGAAGCTGCAGGAGCACCTCCGCCTATTTAGATTTTGTTACGCGCAGCGAAGTGCAGCTGCGAATGTCGAGTTGGCCCCTCTGGCAGCGTGCAGATGTGGCAAGTAGCGTAGCCTCTGGTTCGGGAGTGCAGATCTACATATGCATAGCATTTGAACATGGCCTGTCGATGTGCTCGTCCTGCGGCTGGTCCGTTCTGCAGAAGCAGCTTGGAGTGCATCTCGCGCCTCCTTTGACTCAAAGCATTGGCATCGGAGAAATTTCAAGAAATTGCTCTCAACTGATTCGCCAAGGCTCCATTATGAGCAAGTTCTTTTGGCAAACTCCGGGCAAACAGAGCAAGCGGCTGCAGCAAATACCATAAAGCACAGCACAGCACAGCACAGCACCCTGCAGCACGTCACAGCTACTTGGTGTCAAGCTGAACTGCAGCAATGGTGGCCGCAGCCACCCATCTTAGAACAAGCATTGCCTCAAGGGTCTCTGCCACGCAGTTTCCCACACGTGCTGTTCTTGCTTGCTGCTACAGGTGCAGCCTCCAGCCTCACGCGGCTTTTGCAAATTCAGCTGGACTGAGAGAAGACCATGGCACCAAATTTGCACACAATGATCTGCGCCTACGGGTTGCTGCACAAACCTACCTGCACGAACCTGAGCTCCATGCAGCTCTGCCGCTGTGAATCTAGATGCTAATAAAACTTTCTGGCTGCTTTCATTGCGGATCTGCACCATCTGAAGTAGCGCATGGTCCTGTCTTACTGTCTCCTGTTGGGCACCTTTGCTTCCGCATGGCTCAAGATGTTAGAGTCAACATCTACGGCATGGTTGAAGCTCTTCGTACATCAAATGCTGCCAAGAAAGCCAGATCGTGAATCATGGCTAGGCCTTTATTTCTGGCGCAACTCACATGTAGATGTTCTATAGGTCTTTGCCATTGAAGCTTCCGCATCACATTCACGTATATCTTGAGACAAGCGCGGGTTCCTATCACATTCAAGGCCCTAAGGAGCAGTGCATTCAGACCGGGGAGGGGTAGGCAAACAATCCCAGACCACGGCTTCGAACGCGTAACATGTTGTGGTGGCATCAAAGCTTCCCAGTGGCCCTTATGCACGAAAGAGACAGCTGCGAGTGGCAACTCAGCGCAGCTTCGTTTTGCAAGCTTAGCGCAAGCTGCATTTTTGATTGAAGTTGGAGTCAGGTCGGCTCCGATCGGTACATCGCTGCGTAGCGAGATCCCCACCTCTTGCTACTTTGGAAAAGGAATAGTGCTCACCAAGCTCGCCAAAGCAAAGCGCTCCTTTCCAACTTCCAAGCACCTTGGGCCTCTGCCAATCGTCCAAAAAAGAGAGCTCTGGATACCAATGAACGGAATTCAGGCGGGGAAGAGGCTTGCCTGCAAAGCATACCCTCGCAGACTCAAAGTCCGACAACTTTCGCCTTCATCTGCTCGTGACGTAGAAGGCTCTGCGACCTCCAACCTTGGTACCCAACATGGTACTCAGCTACATAGTTTCTGTAAGCCATTGGCTACGGCAATACAAACTTGTCCTTGTAAGTTCTGGATTCATGTTCTGGGATGTTTGGTAGCTGAGCGGAAAACTGCAGCACAAGATGTGCAGCACCGACGTCAGCAAGGCAAATCCATCGCACCTGTCACTCCAGGAACTGTCACAAGCCTTCTGAGATTCTGGAGGCAATTCTCAAATCCAACACAGCCTGCTGATTTGTGCCCAGGCTGCTGCCTCCCGACAACACTCAGAATTTCCGGAAACTGGATGACAAGGGTGTCTGTGGCCTCCCCGGTCGAAGTCCACCTGGTGAGAGCTGCTCGCATAGCCCAGTCGAGGCCACAACACATATATGGGACTACATTCGGGTTATATAGGCATAATGGAAAAGAAAATGGAAACTACTAAAACGGGTATATATTAGGTTTAGTAGGGAATATGGGGAACATATGACAGCGTTTGGTCATTCGCATGGGAACCTGCGCATGTTGATCTCGAAGCAGCATTGACTCATACGGGCATGCCTCATTTGACCGCTCGACGCATTCCCTCATTTGGGAGAGCAACTAAAGGCGCTATGACAGCCCTAGCTTTGTTTTGCCATGGGTCAAAATCTCATTCCTGGCTGGAGTGGGCAGGCTTCCAAAAAGCATTACACGGGTAGAGTAGAATGTTTGGTCACTGGCTGTCTACTATCGGATGGTTGTTTGACTCAAGAAGTAGCAAAGATTCGAAGCAGTGGGTGGGCTCTTCCAGGACTACAGCAACCTAAGTACCTTGACACACCGTGGAGCAAGAACTGTGGAGATCGGTGGAGTTGATCATCAAAGTACTCAATCATCTTTATTCTAAAGCATTGCTGTTTGTTTGATTGTTTTCTCTCTGCAACTGCAGGAGGGAAACCGCACCTATGAGGCTGCAAGCCTTCAGCTGCCGCGGTGAACATGGGGAATCTTTGAGGCTGCGGGTCTACGCATTCTTCCACGTTCTAGGGATGACTGTGCAGGATTGCCGTTGCCTATTTCTGTGCCCTTTGAAACGTGTTTGACTTCTTCCCACCGGCAGCTTATGACCTGCTTGAGACTGTGAAGGCTAAAAGCAGAAATATTACACAATGCTCAGGCGGCGTCCACTGTCATGCCACAGAAGCATGTCCTTAGTGACAATCGTGCAGTGTACATGGTGCAGGCGATCTCTTCCATCCTCTTTATGTCAGGACTAAGAAGCCTGCACTGCCCAGAAGATGTGACCATGCTCATCGAAGACTGTCGCATCGACGAACACGAAGTCAGACCTCAAGTTGACTTGCGCTGGACCAGTCATTTCTATGTACTGTATACTTTCCCTGTCCGACCAACGCACAGTTAGATAGTCTGCCCGAAGCTGAGCTAAAACCCCCCGAAATGTCAGGGTCCAAGTGCGGAACATCATTTATGTACTAGAAAGTGGCCCCTAAATGTGCCATCCAGACGGTTTGAAGGCTCGTCAAGCTGTGTGGAAGATTTTGTGAGGAGACCTTTTAGGGTTCTGTACTGAACGAAAGCTTCATAAGGGCCCTTCAACAGAACGATCCAAAAGGTAGACCTACTTTGCATATGCAGTGTTAGAGCAAATTGTCGTTGGCGAGCGCAGGACTTACATTCCCCACCTGCGGTTGTCAATTAGGTCTTGGAAATCATGCCTCTGAAAGCAGCAAGCAACATCATCTCCCAAAGTGACAGTCTCTCCAGGGCATGCGCTGCATGCAATAGCCTCACTACTGTAGTCCAAAACGAAGCCAACCATCTGAACTAGGGTTTTGAGCAATGGCATCAGCCCAACATCTGAGGACACTCCACTGAAGAGCGCTGCATTGGGTTGAAAATGTCAGTGCGATTAAGGCAAGAGCGGAATTAACTTCACCAAGCAATTTCACACGCAAAGCTGCTGCCAAGAAAAGACACAAGACTGACACGAGCGATGAAGCGCAAAGTTCAGAAGCAGAATTATGAATGACGGGTTCCGGCTGCTAGCCGCTTGTAGCAGTAGTAATGCTAGCAGCAGCAATATCAATAAGATTCAGTAGTTCCCAATAGTTCAAGCAACACGTACAGAGAGACAAGTATTATGGATAATGTAATGTTTACGCCTTAGGTACTTTTGCTCTATGTTTTTGGAGGTCTGTGTTTGCATAATTGTTGCCGTTGCTCACGTTGTTTGCTTTGATTCATTCTTGCTTGTTTTTGCGCGCAATGTAGGTGTTTTGCTCTTTTTGTACTTCTTGCTTTCTTGCCGCATCCAACAAAGCACGACGCACGGTCAACTGTCCCCAGCCAATGATGATTCCCGGTTACTACAGGACAGGCTTTAGCAGACATCCGTGGTGCTGTTCAGCAATTGCACTTGCTGAAGGTGAGCAGAGGAGGCAGAGAAAGGTTGCGGCCACCGGTGTCGATAGAGCTCCGGGTGGCCGCGCCAGAGGGAAGACATCGACATCGAGGTCAGCCAGGCAGCGCGCGACAGAGTCAGCGCGTAGGCTTCCATGACGACATCAAACAAGCACGTTCCAAATAAATACGCTTCAGGAAACTTGCCAAAAGCAACTCAACATCCACAGAGAAACTCCTGAGTGCAACAATGTGGTGTTCTTCTAGGAGTCAGGCATGAAATGATTAGATGATGAGATGGGGCCATGTGGGATCAATCTCGTACAGGGGTCCGTAAAATATCTGACACAAACAGAAAAAGCAAACAAAGCCCTCAGCTGATTAGCACTTCGTGGATCTGAACACCAGGAGCTTTACCTTTCACGTCTTCTCATGGTCGGTTGGAAACTTACATTCAAGGCCGTGCCTCGAATCAAAGGTTCGTTACTTCGCCTCCAACTTAAATCAGCAGCATCGCAGCAGCGAGCTTATTTGTGGAACCCCAAGAATTGAAATCCGACCCGGGGCTACCAGATTCTCAAGTTCTGTTCGATCATGAATTTCCCCTGGCCCAACCCCTCGGCTCAAGCCGCCTGTCCTCTCATATGCCGCCCCTTTCGCTGCTTGACTCGGCTGGAATGCGCTCTATCTGAGGCTGGCTCTGCTTCAGCACTCCGAACTTGAGGACGAGCTCACAGAATGGGGAACCGTTTCTGTTAGAATTATTCCCCCTCCCTGTCGAAATTGGCTTGCCACCCTAAACATCTGCATTCATCTTGAAGAGCTGCATTTTGGATCTGTGCGAGTCGACGACCGACAGCTTTGCACTTACGAGTTCAGCAACCACGCCCTTTCTGCTGCAGGTCCTCACAAACTCACCAGCTCCTGCATAACAAAACCAGATTCACTGCCGTGCTTCACCTTGGATAAATACCCAGTGTTGCTAGCCTGACGGCTCTTGCGAGTGAATGATGTGTCACACACCGGGCTGGACTTCTGCCACAACATGCCACAGTTACGCGCCCACCCAACGGCAGCAGCACCAGCGTTTGGGGTGAGCCAAATGACATTCAACAAAAAAGCACGACAACGGTGTGATTAGAACAACATACTGAGCTAGGCTAGAACAGCAACGAAGTGGATGCAAAGCCGACTTTCGGTTTTTTTGTCCAAGAAGCAACTTCTGCCCAGAATTGCTAGCAAGATCATGCGCATCAGCTTTGCCCACGTTGGGATACTGAGCGCTTGGCAGCACTGACTTGAAGGCTGCTGTCTGCCATGCTATACTTGGCTGGCGGATGCATGGGAACCTGGCAGGGGGAAGCAGCCCAGGACTTGGATAGCTGCCCAAAGAACTGAGCTAGACAAGAAGCGGCGATTGGTACCCAGACTCGTGAGGAGCAAGCACCTCGAAGTGGCACGCCTACCAGCATGTGATCAGACAAGTGCTTTCTGGCCGGCGCATTTACCAGGCACCAGCAACCATGCCAAGCTCCGGTGCAAACGTTCAATTGCTTGAAGTCATTCGATGCGGCCTCTGCATTGACCTTCCCCTGCGGTGCAAGTCGAGCCGGTTGACGACGTGAACTCGAGGAACTCCTGCCCTGACAGAAAGCTTGCTGCCCAGCATGCAGCATGCCGACGCAGCTCCTCTGCAGAGTCTTGCAGCTTACCAGGATCCTTTGTCTGCACAACCTGAGACTTCACAAATTCACATGACTGGCCTAGGCAAACTGCATGAGCGAGCTCAGCATTGGTGCATGCTTTGTGTGCGCTTTGCCTTTCAATCAGCGAAGCCAACAGACATGTCAAGCGGAGATCGCACGGGCCCAAAACATAAAACATCATAAAACATAGCTTGCAAGCCACCGAACTGAGGCTCTCACACAGTGAGGGCTTGCCACGGCAACCTGATCCACAGAATGTGCAAATATCTGCCTGGCTCTGCGATGTTGCCAGGAACGGTCGAGGCCGCAACCGCGCCAAAGCTACCTGCACGGTCATGGCTGAGCCTGAATGAGTCAAGATTGTAAAACGTGCTTGAGAAGGACTCGACCTTGCCACTTCGAAGTGTCAGCTGTAGAGCGTAGCTGTGGAGGCCTAAACAGGAGTCCAAGTCATCAGAGCAAGGCCGTCCGGCCAAGATGTCCCAAGCCTCGCACTTTGACCACAGACTCTGAAAGATACAGTGGTAGCTTAGGTTGGCATATATACCCGCGAGTGTGTTGCTGCTTCCCCAGAAAGCTAGCAGCAGCCTTCCACAACGGCTCCTCAAGAATTTGGTTTCATCCATTACAAGCTCATCGCTGAAGTCATCCAGGCTATTGACGTCTGCTGTCAGCAAGACCTCCTGTCGGCCCATTGTTGCTGAACGGCCCACAAACTCCAACCGAAAGGGGCACGTGACTCTCAGAGACGAGAAACTGCACCGCAAACAAACTGCCGAATCAAACATCTGCACAGATGTCTGATTGAATTCCAAGCGCGCCGTACCCGCATGCGGCTGAACAACTGACATGATGTGTCGGACCTGAAGCGACTCGTACAGCTTTCGAAGGTCTGGGAGCCCATCCCGGCGTCGAGATTTCCGCGCGAGGTCAGGCAATTTTCTGCGAACGAAAGCCTCGTGGACTTGCCGCAGTCGATGCAAAAATCGCTGCAGCCAGCCACAGCCTGGCACTGATTGCCCTGGTATCTCCAGTGGCCACCGCAAACGATATAAGTTTTCCCAAACTGTATCCTGAGAACAGGCATCACAGATGTGGCGTGAAGACGCCCGAAGTACACAAACATCTCTCAGGCTGTGATAGGCACATGTATAATGAACCAAGTCGGCCATGCTGGTTGTGACAGCAACTGGCACGCCTCGCCCTCCTCGACGCAAGACTGCGTTGTGTCGTGCTGCTACTGGCTTCGGGATTGAAGGTGCCTTGCCCCTTTCCGAGAAGCGTGAAGGTCTCTGCCGTGAGTTGGAGCACGACTGCAAAGGAAGTTGTTGAGGCATCCGAGGCATACTCTTCGCTCTGCGACCGATGTGTGCACCTCACAAGGTTGCGTTTGGGTCCTGCCCCGAGAACCTCTGGATACTGCAAGAGGAGGATTGGCGAAGGTCTCTGGAGCTTCTGATGCCTCCCTGTGAGCAACTTCATCCACAGGTGCTGAGATCTGTGTGGAAGAATAAGTTTGGCCTATTGTGCTTGGGGCCGCATGGCGTTGCATAGCAGTCTGTTGCAGAGGCCCGGGCAGAGCCAGCTGGAACAGAAAGCTGGCGAGGTGGACAGCTGTGCTGCTCATGTAGCAAGGGAGGTCTTGCAGATGCGACGAGATGTACCAAGGTTCTTTTTGTATGCGGCTGCAACCTTTTGGCTTTGGCAGTCCTCTAGCTGGCGAGACTGAGACTTAATTGCGCACTGCGGTCTGGGACTTTTTGCGCCGGGTTCTGGGGCTGAACCACAATTTGAGCTGGGCTAAGGTTGCCCTGTACGACTTCTTTCCAATTACCTTCAGGGTTGGGCATGACCTTACTGTTGAGGACAAAAAAATTCGAGAGCATAGTCTGTCTTTAGGCCCAGCAAGTGCTTCCAAGGACCGTCCGAAAGAGCCCCGTGCGAATCACGTACAGGCCTCGTCCAACTTACAACTTGCGGCATTTCGCACACAAGCAGTCCCCCATATGTACAGGAAGCCAATACATGCTAGTCACTCTCCCCCGGTCACTGCTCGCCTGACCACGGGTTTCTCCGAAGCAGCGCAAGTCATGCCTCATCCAACGGTGCCTCTTGTCCCTGTCTTCGTGAAATGGCGATGGCCTTGGCCCAAGACAGCTGAGGCTAGGCTCCAAGCAGGCATGTGCTGGTTGGCTTCCTGTGCAAAAAGCTCAATCTTTTTTAGCCTCCACTCGCGCTGCTTCGTTCACAACTTCTCCTAGTAAGTCGAGCATGGCTCATCCTTCCAGCGCCCTGTGATAACACCACTTTGGTGAAGCTTTGCACACCTCTCGGAGTGGAAACTACAGAAGCAAGCTGGAACGTCGAAACTTGTCCTTGCTGCAGTGAGGTGCGTCTGTCGCAGAGCTGATCGTAGACTTCTTAGCCGCGGCAATCACAGACTTGGTAGGCTGAACTATGCTGAACTCGTGAACCAACAGGGCTAATTAACATGGATCGTTATGGATCAATGCTCTCCTCCAGACGAACTCAAAGAGCAGACGACGCTGACAGAGTCGTGATAAAATCCATCGCCGTACCCTCACAAATGCCGGCATCATGCGTGGAGCGGTCCCGCCTCAGGTTTCCCCCTGCGCCTGATCCTGCCAGCAGGCAGGGAAACGTGCAAATACACAGGTGGCGTGCTTGACATCCGGCCTTGCCATGATATGTTTCACCTTCTTGCGACGGTCTTTTTCACCAGGGGGACAGAGATGACAAAATGCACATTGCCTCAAACTTCTACAGACAGCAACGATGGAAATGCTGTGTGATGCAGCAAGGACTTCTGAGGCTGGGGCATGCCACTTTGGCAGCCTTTTGTGTACACGAAGGCGCAAGGCTTGCAGGTGCCCTCCTCGTGTGCAGCTGAGCCCACTGTTGCTGGCAGGGGCGCATGGTGCTCCATTGGATCAGCGCCCATGGGAATAGAAACTTGCATCTGCAGCATTTCTGGTACTGCAAAACCAGCCCCATCGTAGCCAGCCGCAAAGCCAGCATCTGCTGGAGGAGCCGCGGCCCCTGCGGAAAAGACATCGTCTGCAAACCACGAGACAGATGCGGTAGAGGATAACGAGCCATTCAATGCCCATGGCGGACTGAGCGGCGTAGTGGAGAGGATGAGGTTTTGCGCACCGCCGCATGCAACGACTTCCATGTCGCCCGCATCAAACTGAGCAGCTTGGCTCCACAACCTCCCATCAGACGGGATTGATGCAAGCTCGGAATCATCGAAGTAAGTGCTTCCAGAGCTCGATTCAGCTAGTTCCGCTGATTCAGAAAAAGCTTTCTTTGCGGGTGCCAAGAGCTCAAGTCCCGGAGGAGCCGATGGAGCAAAGGCCTCGCTGACTGCAACCGCATCGCGAAGCTTTCCGAGAACTGGACTTGATGGCGCAGTTGACTCCGTAGAGGAGCAGTCTGCCAATAGCTTCAGCGTTTTCGCGGACATCTCTGTTGCAGTTCTGAGTAGCTCTTCTTGTTGACTTGCCAACCCTGCAGCAGGCTCGGAATGGCGAGGCCCGGCCTCACCTACGGAACAAACCTATCTACAGCCTGGAGCCAAGGTGGCGACTTGCAGACAGCTTGCGGCGCACGATGCTCGACATGCCACCAGGCCAAACAAGATTGCACATTGGTTCTGCATAGCGTCACATCACGTAAGCCCAATACTCGTAAAGGTCTGGATGACCAGCTTGAAGTGTTTGATCGTATCGTTCATGTGAGGTATTGAACCTATCTCTGGTTAAGTTTGCTGCAATCAGCGCAATCCGGGTTGAGCATGGAATCCGGCCTTTTCACGTGAGACTTGAACGCCTGCAAGCAAAGCCAGCAAGCACTCCCTGACTGTCTCACAGTCTGCTGAGGTTGAACCCCTGTATTTTGCGATGCCGCACCTGCTTGCACATGGTTGCAGTGCTGTGGGCCTGGCAGATTGAAAAACTGCAAATAAGAGTGTGCATGTAAACAAGCCGGGGGAACGCCACCGACCAAAGGTAGACCGCATCGTGTCCTAAGCTACACGCCAACATCCCAGGTCGCCATCGCGCTGCACATTTGTAGCTTGGGAAGCTGCGCGTGCAATAACAAACAGCCCAACAGCCTCAGGAAGGCATGCCGCAAGCTTCTCAAGTTCCGGCACAATCAAAGATTTGGTGTGGCAGGCTCGGGCATGGCTAATGACTACATGCAAAAAACGCCGTAGAAAGTCCTAAGGAGCTCTTACGAGAGATTTGGAAGTCGGCAAACATGACAGCAGGCACCGAAAGAAAAGTGTTGTTTCTCTGATTTTTGGGACCTTTTGATTTTTTTGGTGGGGATAGGCGGGGGGGAATGGGGTGGCGGATGGGGGAGAATGGGGGCCAGCCCCGCCCACCCGTTTGCAAATCATGCAGAATGATGGAAGAATGGGATATCATGGAACGCCAAAAAAGAATCATGGACAATCAACATATGATGAGAAAGTATGAAAAAGGGCAAAAGCAAGGAAACATTAGGAACAATGCTGCAAAGTGTTTTAACATGTTGCATGAGGAAATGATGAAACATATGAAAGATGAGGAAGTATGCGGAAACTCGTTGGGAGATCAGGTGGAGAATCAGCATTAAAAAATCAAAAACCCAGGATCCAAACAATATTACAAAAGGGTAGAGTTCATGATAGAAAACACTGCATTGGAAGCATAAAAAACCATCAGTGAATTCATGGTGGCATGCAGCTTCGTGAACGATCGAAAAATAAGATGAAAAACGACGGAGCGTGTTTCAAATGAGGGAAGAATTAAACATGATGAAACATGATTGAAAACGAGAGAAATGATGAAAACCGACCAATATGAGGAAATATCATGAAAAAGATGAAGTATGATGAAATATGATGAAGTATTATGACATGCGATGAATATGACGAAATAGAATGAAATGTGGTGAAAATGATGAAAAACATTACCTGTGATGAAACTGATGAAATATTGTGTAAAGTCCTGAAAATATAACAAACAAATTTGGAAATGATGAAGTATCATGGAACATGATAAAAGGTTGTGAACAACGATGGAATATGATAAACATGATGAAGACTGATGGACATCATGAGAATTCATTAAGAAACATCGCAAAGTCTTGGAAAACATGAAAATCATGAAGCCGCTGAACAATTGTGGAAAGAAAAAGACAAAAACGCAATCAATAAAGAAAGCAAGAAATTACTGGGAAAGCAAATAGTGAGGAGGGGCCGCGCCCCCCAAACCCCACCCTTTAAAAGCCATTTAAATGCATCATGTCATGTCATGAGTATGTTCGCAATAAGGGAGGATTACGCGGATCATGCAGTTCGCAAGGGTGGGGGCTGCGCCCTCCCCAACCCCCTTTTTTGTAAGGCCATCCATGCTCATGTTCAGGTCGTTTTGACAGTTTTATCATCATGTTTCATCGTTTCTCATGTTTCATGATTTTCCATCATCCTTCAGCAGTTTCCAAGATTTTTCTCAGTTTCATGTAATTATGTATCATCGTCGTGTTTTCTTTCCTTCGGTCTGTTCTTTTTATTCCTTTTTCCTCTCTTTCTTTCTCTTCTTCGGGCTTTATGGGACTCTACAGTTTCTCGCAGGAAACACCTGCAGTCCAGCACGCAGGAGTCAGTGGTCTGGTCTCACCCAGAGGTGCGATGGGTGCGAAATTGATACAGGATTTTTTAATGTGTTTCTGATGTTTTGTTCTTCTGCTTTCTCCAACAGTGCTCGCGCCATGACGTGGACAGATGTATGTTTTCTGAAGTGATGTTGCCAAAGACCGGCGACGTGCAGCTTGTCCCTACTCCCGTCCCTAGCAACGGCGAACGAATCGGGAGCAACTTGCCAGAAAACTCAGAAAAGGCTATAGCACTGGTAGCCGGATACTTGCAGTCTTATGTGAAGATGAAACACGGCACCTTCCAAACACAAAAGTGTCCAAACCATGTTATTTCTGCAAGCTGTGCTTGGTGAGACGTCGCAAGCTCGAAGCTGCACACTTGCTGGCTGCTGCTGGAATCGGCAACGTGCGATGCGTGCGCCGCACCTACAATAATATGACTTTCAGCACATGGGTCGTTGTCCAATCAACATGCAATCCCAGCGGTAGTGCCTGCGCACAAGCCCCTGAAACCTGGGTGGCGAGCTAAGAGACAGCTGTGGAAGCATCTGGCGCACAACCCAAAAACAGGAAATCCATTGGGGACGGCTTGAAGAAAAACGGAAATTAGCCCAAGCAAGTAATTTGGAGATGAGTTTATATGGCTTCATTGGACAAGAACTCGCACCACGTAAGCTCAGTGCCTTGTTGGGCCAAGGCGCAATTCCTTTCCCAATAAGGGATCTTACGTCTGCAAGTCGCACCGCTGCAAGCTGGTAAAGCTGGCCAAACAGGCGCGGTTGCATGTTACGAGGATCGCGACCCTAGCAGTAGTAGTAGTAGTAGTAGTAGTAGTAGGAGTAGGAGTAGGAGTAGGAGTAGGAGGAGTAGGAGTAGGAGGAGTAGGAGTAGGAGTAGGAGTAGGAGTAGTAGACTAGTAGTAATAAGTAATAATAGTAGTAATGGTCGTCGTCGTAATGATAAGAGTAGTAAGAGTACCCCAAAAAGGTCGACAGCTACTAAGCAGGGACAACACCGGCTTGAAAAGGAGCGGTGCGGCAGGACATGGAACCTACTATAGAACAACACGGCTACTGCTGAGGTCTGGCTTCAGCCCAAGGATTGATGCATCCTGTGTGCCAGAAAACATGTTGGGGCTTCTTCAAAGAGGGATCTCTAATTGGGGAAACCGCCATTTAGGATATTGCCAAATTAGGGGCGACATCAAGGACTCTTCGTTCTGAAAGGTTTCCATCTTTTGCAGGTATGATGAGAAAGTAGCACGTGAGGCGCAGCTGCTCATGAACGACTAGCAGCCAGCAAATTTGATGCATGATTTCACCCGGTGCAGTGGTGGTAGGGGTGCTGGGGTGGTAGTGGTGGCAGCAGTACTCCAAAGACCCTAAACCATACATAAATCGTAGAAAAATGTTCAAATCTGGATTTCTGATGGCGGCGCGGAGATCTAGAAGTAAAAGCGCCCTAATCCTAGGTACACGGGATCCGCGGGCCGCGGGCCGCAGGACGCCAAACGCTATAATGACACTCTTGGAAGACTTCAAACATTGTAAATTACAGCATTTGCTGGTTTAAGAGTGCTTCAAATGCTGCAGACCACGGGAACGGAGGACCAGAGGACCAGAGGACCACAGGACCAGAGGACCACAGGACCGGAGCCACACCAGGGCTGGACGAAGCCACATTGGAATGTTTCAAATGCTGCAAATTACACAATTTCCTGGTCGCGGAACATGCCCAATGCTGTAACTTACAACATTGGCGGGTTTTGGAACGCTGACAATTCCACCTTGGAACATGGGAAATGCTGCAAATTACAGCATTTGCTGGTCTTGGAACGCTTGAACTGCTGTAGATTACAGCTTTTGCCGGCTTGAGAGATTCTCGGGCACTGCAGATAACAGCATTTGAAAAAGACCGGGAACCTCTGGACCACGGGACTGGAGGACAAGGGACGAAGGGACCAGAGCCAGAAAGCCAAGAAGCTAGATACCAAGAAAAAATACAACACACCCACACCCACACTCACCCAAAAATCATTAAACAAATACAATTCCAGGTCCGATGCGCGGCTTGATCCAGAACGCAACACATCCTTCTCCATCCGGGTGTGAGACTTCTGTACGCACGCTTCGCAACGTTCCCCCCTCGCTTGACAGGATAAAAACCTTTACGGAAACAAGAAGGCACTACCCCCAGTAGCTGATTAGAAGACAAGTTCCCCGGAACATGTTGCGGCGCTTCCCGCGTAAATGTTCCAGCTACTGCCTCTGCACGTCCTGCAAGGGATCCAAGCCAGCAGCAAGAATTTCTCAGGTCCGACATGGGCATGCAGTAACGTGGTGCCCTCATGACCTGTGTTGCCCTCCACCCAGCACGGAATCTTCCGCCAGGCACTCAGGGGCTATGGCCGGCTTCTTGCTGGAGAGTACATGCAGTTGGTAGAAATGGGGGTAGGGTTCGTTGGCGGGGGCAAACGAAGAGGCAACAAACCTAAAACAACAACATTGGCAAAAGCAGTCAGGGTGAAAATGGACTACTGACTTCTGAGCACCCACGTGTAGGGCGCCCACTTCTGCGTTGCCTAGTGGCAAAGGGTGCTCTCTCCAAGGCGGAGGCCCTTGACTCCCTAGCCTGATTCAGCACAATCTGCCATCGACCGGCACAGCCGTTTGTCGGCCGTCGATCAATTCTCAGCGGGAGGTCGACAACCCTCGGCTCTTGTGGTGTTGCTCTCGCTGCTGTCATTATCTTTCCAGGGGTTTGGAACTTCAGGCGGCTTGGTTTGCTTGAAACGTGGAAGTCTTAACTTCATTCGCTGTG